TCTTCATGTCTACCGGCACACCAGTTCGCAAACACTTTCCACTTAAGAGTATATAGGCGCCTAATCGGCTCTAGCCTCTGTTATCGTGTGTAACACTCATTGTGAAATGGTCAGCTGGTTTGTTCTGCACTCACTTGCCATACATGCAGGCCCCACAGTTCCGGCTTGGGATGCTAGATGGTTCCCCTTGTCTGGGACCTGCCACGGGGGGGCTGACGATATGTTTACCAACTCTGGGGACCACGGCTGGTTGGGCCATTTCGGTGCTGTCAGCAGTAGAGCATCCCTCTCCTCCCTGATCTTTTGCAGCATTAGCGGCATAATTTTGACCAGGGGGAATGCATATTTTAATTTAACTAATTTAATTTAATTTATGCATTTAGCAGATGCTTTTATCCAAAGCGACTTACAGTGCATTCAGGCTATACATTTTTTTACCAGTATGTGTGTTCCCTGGGAATTGAACCCACAACCTTTTGCGCTTGCTAATGCATATTTCCGACTTTTGGGCCAGTGGCTCGACAGCACATCCCCTTTAATGGGGGCAGTCGTTAGAGAGAAGAATAATGGGCAGTGGGCATTCTCCTCTGATGCAAAGAGGTCGATTTTCACGTCGCCAAAGAGACTCCAGATCATCTTCACTGTTTGAGGATGTAGTCGCCACTCCCCGTGAATAATGCCCTCCCTGGACAGCATGTCCACACCACAATTCAAACTGCCTGGTACATGCACTGCTCGAATCGAGAGGAGTGTCTGATCTGCCCAAAGGAGTAGGCGCCACGCCAGGCTTTGCAGGGCACACGAGTGCACTCCTCCCTGGCGATTGATGTATACTACCACTGCTGTATTGTCCATTCAGATCAGAATGTGATGGTCTCTCACAAACTGAAGAAATTCCTGCAGTGCTCAGTGAACACAAGCTCCACAACCACACAAACCCAAGCTCCTCGCCCATTTAGCATGCCTAGGCCTGTCTGTGAACATGCAAAAGAGCATGCTTCAACCCTGCCAGTCGATTACATTCCTGGGGATGGTTTTAGACTCACGCACGATGCTCACATGCTTATCAGCACAGAGGCCAGCATATAAATTGCCTAGAAATGGAAGCTGTTCAGCTTGGTAGGCTGCTCGGGGACTGCCCCATATCTGCCACAGCCTCCATGAGAATACTTATGAGCTCTGCATCCAACAAGGCAGGGGTGGAGCTAGACTCATCTGTAATGGCCTCCGACCAGGCACCCAGGTCAGAAGCACTCGTGGACATCGTATCATCCTCCCCACAGCCAAATGAAAACAGATCCCGTGCTTCAGATGGAGGACGGAAACTGTCCTTGGCATAGGAGAGTGGAGGCTCTGGCGAACAAAGGCGACGTGGGCGTTGGGCCTACGTTAGCAGATCAGTAGGGCTTGGGGGGGGAGGGGCATCTGCGATCTCTCAGCCTGCGACTCAATGGAGGCGGGTGGGGGAGATGCAGAAGCCAATGGGCCGCCATTTGGCAGGACCAAGCAGGCTCAGCAAACCAATCCTTCCAATGCCACCTCAGCAAGGGCATGGCTCAGACACAGCACACATTCCGTGTGCACGCCCAGAAACTCAATGAGCCTGCCACACATGCAGCATTCGCGAAGAGACATTTTCTAATTTCTTCTTCTTTCGCCGGAACGCAGGAGGGGATCACTTTCTGCATTGTCCGTTCTCGTCACGTAGGTCAATGGCGAAACAGGCTCCAGGTGAAGCAGAAAGATTCTGAGGTAAATTGGTGCCCAACATTGCCCATATATCGGCTAAGCCCACCAATTGGGCGAATGCTTGAACACCATTGGCTAGAGTGATTCAATTATGCTTCAGCATTTCGGAGGAAAAGTGTTTCCCCATACGTAATGTCAAGAGACCGACTCGATAAGGGAACTATTTCCCTGCATTTATTACACACTAAACATGTGGCAAGCAGTGCAAGGTATAATAGCAGGAGAAGAAGCCATGACTCACCATGTTTGTTTAATGATTCCGACTTACCACAGTTGTTTGATGAACTCATGAAAAGAAGAGCGAGAGAGATGAAAGAAATGGTAGGCACGAATGACAAGCTAACGGAATTCTAAAGCGCTGTGCTATCGGTTTAGATTAAAAAGCGAACAATATCAAATGAATTTGTTAGATAATATCAGAATATATGGTGATTAATTGATTAAGTAATATTTTAGCAGTTTAAACAACAGAGAGTGATAGCGATTCCAACAACAACAAAAATGAAGCTACACAGAACTACAATCACAAACCACTCAGCAGCATGGCAGACAGGAACCGGAAGCAATGTCTGAATACTGAATATGACACAATGCTTTAAGCCTAAGATTAATAAATCTCTGTGTCATACTATGTATTGTTAAGTATGTGACACATAAAAATTTGATTTGAAAGAGAATGTTGTCACAAGATGGAAGGGGAAGTTATTTTCGTAAAGGCTACGGGGCACTTGAATAAAAAAAACAAAAAAACAATGTCACTGATAAATCTTTTCTTAAAAAAATACTGCAATATACTATAAAAAATAAGAATATCAATATAACTAATATCAGTGAAACTAAAAAAAAAATTTTTTAAATTGTCGTCACTGGCATTTAGGAGTTTGTTCGTTATAAGAAATAATTACGAATTGCATTAGGATCACTGAACAGTGTGAAATTATGGGATTAGTTTACAATATGAAATGCATTATTATATTTAAATATTTTGTATATGAAAAAAAATAAGGTATTGTAGATCTGTTTGGTTTCAATAAAATAGTACAATTTAAAAATATAAACATTTGTGAATAAAAATTTTATAGTGTGCATTGTTAAATCTATGCATAACTGTTTTTTTTTTATTAGAAAAAAGTGCCAAAGACCCTCGTGTTGAATGCTTAACATCTGTCTGCAAGAAAGCTGTCTACCTTCTCTTTCAGCTGGAAGAAAAAGAGGGAGCTAAGTAATGCACAAACTGAGCTGAAACTACCTTAACAGAAACTCATCACCGAGTCCCCAACACGATGTGGTTCCAGACTCAACATGATTGAGAGAGTTCTTGACCAGGAAAAGGCCATTTCTCAGGTCCTGAAGGCAGACAGGAAGACGAGACATTTGGTACCATCATGGCAAGACATTGACGTGATGGAGTTTGTGAAAAAGGCACTGAGTCCAGAGTCCACTGGGAGACTTTACTGATGCACTCTTAGGTGAGGACTATGTGAGTGTATCCTACGTAAAACCAGTGCTTTACCTATTGAAAGTCAACATCTTGAGCCTGAATGATGACGACACTGAACTAACAAAAACAAAGAAGACAATTATTTTAAATTACCTCACTAACAAAAATCAGGATCCCACCACTGATGACCTGCTGGATATGGCTTCGCTTGTCGATCCCAGGTTCAAAACCCAGTATATTGACAGAGACAAGATGGAGGGAATACAAGCCAGAGCTGTGTCTGAGCTGGAGTCTTTGCTGACCATACAATATCCAGCTGCTGCAGCATCGGATCAGCAGCCTACATCCACATTACAGAGCCCTGATGCAGAACAAACACAACCCAAGAAAGAAAATAAATCACTTGCCATCTTTCTGAAAACCTCAGGTGCTGTAAGTGCATCTGCATCTGCAGCCGCAGGATCAGCTTCCTTATCTCTAAAAGAGACAATAGAAGGGGAATTGAAGGGCTACTCGTACACACCAAATGCAGAAAGTGAGGTGGATCCTCTGGAATGGTGGAGAGTTCATGAGGCAAACTTTCCAAGAGTTAGCCAACTTGCTAGAAAGTACTTGTGCATTCCAGCAATAAGTGCTCCCTCACAAAGAGCCTTCAGCACAGGTGGCAAAATTGTCACCTGCCAAAGGGAAACTCTCAAGCCAGATAAAGTCAATCAACTTGTTTTCCTCTCTAAAAATGTGTGATTGTGATCAGTCATACTTTGCGTTCTTTTAGAAGGAGATGTAAGTTGTAAGAAGGTGAAAGGTATGTTCTAAAGCTGCTAGTGCTAAGTTTACAAGAGTCAGGATTCAGAAATATTTTTGCACCTTTGGTTGATTTGTTTTGGTTCTCACATTACACTTAAAACAATTACTTAAGAGATTACAAAAGGTAGTTAATTTTAATTTAATTTTTAAAAATCTATTTATAGGTGTTATAGTGTTGTGTGTTTACTTTTTTGAAGCCAATGTTTATTTTGGGAGTTATGCTAAAGTCTCTGACTGCACTTATATTTAACTAGACCAAGTTAATATTTTTATTGAAACATTTTTTCTTTACCTTTTTAAAAAAAAAGAAAAGAGGATCTGTGTCTAATAAGCTGTCTGAGTGTTACAGCTGTTGCCAATGTTAGATTTATTTTTAAACCAATGTTCATTTTGTGATGAGAAGTCTTTGATTGTAATTGAATGCAAGTCTTGTTGAATGTTCTTACATTGCAGAATTGCACTTGCATTAAATCTACACTTGATTAAAATATGCTTGAAAATGTACTTTGGCCTAAATGGTATGTCATTTTTTTCCCCCTTTTATATTTTGTTACCTTGTATGACTGCATTTTAAATGGGGACATTAGTTTGGCTGTGTTGATGGCAAAATAGTCTTTAAAAAAACAACATGGAAAATTAATCTTGATAAAATCGTGAAATTGTGATTTTTCCTGAAAAAAATTGTGATATACATTTTTTTCATATCGCCCACCCCTAATATATACATAGTATCTTGCATGTTGTTACATAATAATAATAATAATGATAATAAATTATTTTATGTAATATGCATAATGTAATTATTATTATTACTATTGGTGTATGAGATAATAATAGGTGCTAATAATAAGCATGTGAGATAACAACAGTGATGCCTTGTCTGCCACTAATAAGCTTAAACAGTAGATAAGTGTTTTGGCTTTGTTAATCCAACATAAATGGCTAGATTCATTTTCTCAGGTGATTTATGATAACAAGCAGTTTTAACAACTTAGTAACCCACCTGCTACAAGATCACCAAATCCAATAGTTGTCAAAGTGACAAAAGAAAAATACAAGCCCTCAATATAGGTCCAGCCTTCTTGAGACATGAATACAAATGGAGGAATCACCAAATGCACCAACACACCCCATAACAGAAAGACAGCTGTGCAGGTGAACTGTGTTTTCCGCTTTAAGAAGAAGAAACACACACACAAACAATTAATAACCTTATAATCGAAAAATTGGCAAAATGCAGTTAGAGGTTTCACAGCTGTTATTATAGTGAAATTAAGATTTCAAATATAATATTTTTTATAATTATTCCTTACCAATGTTACCCCTTTCTTAGTAAGATATTGCCCAAGGTGTTTAGCTCTTCCACCAAAAAACTTTCCAAGTTCACTGATCCATGTGAAACACAGTGGCACTCCAAAAAGACCATAAAAAATACAGAAAACCCTCCCTGAAGGTGTTTTGGGAGCAATATTTCCATAACCTGTGGAAATAAACAATTTTTGCTGAAAACATTCAGATTACGGTAAATACAATTTATCTCATTACAGTCTGAACACAACATGTTCTATCTTAAGGCACGGCATCCATATATTTATCTGAGTATTAAAAAGAACAAAATAATATATATAGAGGAAAACAATGCTTAAAAAGTCTCTTAAAAGTTATCTGTGAAAAATAATATAAAATTAAAATAAATAATAATAATAATAATGTTTGTAATGACTGTAGCATAAATATTCGCCCATTTCCTGATTATTTTTAGCTAATTAAATCAATGTTTCCTTTGATTATTTCTCCAAGTGAAACAGATTCACTTGATTTTCAAGCCGAGTAAATGTAAATAGACTAGATCCTTACCTATAGTTGTAATAACTGTAGCTGCAAAGATGACAGCATTGGGCCAATTCCAGTTGTTGAAGGTTTTGTCTCCTGTTATGGTGATGCCTTGTCCTGCAGCATCAGACACCACCTATTTCAAAAGAAAGAAAAAAAGAAAAAATTGTGAGAGCAGTCACAAATTCAATTCAAATACAACATCAGAGACTTTTGTTCAGAAGCATTGTGGATTTGTTGTGTGTCTGAGACCAGAACTTCTATCCTCTCATGCCAGTATTGTTATCAACACCTCCCTGAGTATACTTAGCAAAACATAGTCAGTCATCTTTGGGACACCATAATCAGTCATTTCTGGGACATGAGTGGGCCATCCCTCACTTAAAAGGTTTTTGGCTATGGATCTGATATCAAATCATGCAAATCTATCCTAGAGATATAGTGAAGAAGGCATAATACATCCCTAAACACTTGTACAATCACAGATAAAAGGATCTGGTGAGTTATTAAACAGATAAACACTCACTTAAATAAATTATGACTGATTCTTCTTGATGAAACAGCTGCTCATGAAGCCTGGGAAACTATAACTGGTGATGGTAAGGGCTGTTACATTTCCAACACACCCTAAGCAGTTTCAGGCTTCCGGCAGAGGGTGTACAGAGTGCTGCTGCAATGTACAGTGTAGCGTCTGGACCACTCAAACACACAATATATATTTTGTTAGCTAGATTTCACAAATACTCTGTAACACCCCAGTGTATCCCTTTTCTGGACGGGATTTAAAAAAAGTTTTTTAAACAACATTTGAGTTACAGTTCTTATTGCTTGACATCTGTGATTTCATGTGGGTTGAGACAAACATTTACGTGTTTACGTGCACAGGTGGGGTGTGTCTTTTCTAGATGTGGGCATTACAGAAGGTCATGTGCTGTGCAAATGGATTGAAAGAAAGGGATTGCCTTCTTTCAGCTTGTTGAACAATTTTATTTGGACATTTCTACTGTGTAATGGCTGAAGTAGCAGTGACACTCATGGTAACCAGATTCATTGTGAACTACAGTGAAACCATCAATTATTAGGCAATGCAATAAAATAGCTTCTCCTTGAAAACGATACCATGAAGAATGAGCTTCACATTTTCTATACTGCAATTTACATATTAATGTTTGTAATGTTTGTTGCATATAGTAAACAACGCAGAATAGAACCTGAGGTAATCATTATCATCACAGAACAAGCTCAAAATTGCCACTTGTTATTTTAAACTAACTTTTACATGTATAAGGTACTACCACTGGTAATTTGAGTAATTTATCCAACAGAAATTACATCATAAAGTCGACTTTTAACAGATGCTTATAGTGATCTAAACTTAACACCTTGCAACTCCTTAAGTCCTACAGCAAGAAAAGGGGCTTTTTGACAAAAAATAAGTACACTAGTAGTAGCAATAAATTTAAATGTGCCTGCAGTGTGAACTAATATTAAAGAGAAGGAGATAATTGGTTTACGTGCAGCATGAACTTAGGTGGCAATGGCAATCTGTTGCTACATTAAAGACCAAATTGTGAAAAGTCAAATTGACATTTGTGGTAAGTGACAGAATTTGAATACCCAGACTTTGATTCGTATTAAAAGTAACAATGTTACAAAATTTCACAAATAATTCTGAGTGTTTAGTACGATTTATGCATCAATTTAAATAAATAAATAAATCTACTAGCTGCAATGCTTTCTTCATTTGTATACACACACATATATATATATATATATACAGTATATATATATATATATATATATACACACACACACACACGTACATACATACATACATATATGAGGGGCAGTACAAGCCATAATTCATTTTGGCACTCTCACACACTTACATTCTCCTTTCACATGCATACATTTCTACTGTCACACACTTACATTCTCCATTCACATACATACATAAATTTCTACTCTCTCTCACACACTTACATTCTCCTTACACATACATACATTTCTGCTTTCACACATATACATTCTCCTTTCACATACATACATGTCTACCTTTTTTGGTATCCATTACTTCCTGTTTAAGCAGGAAGTCACTCTCAGACCAGGAAATACATGTGCAAGACTTGTTCAGCTCTTCCTCACAATTTTACAATGATACTGTTCAAAGTCATCCTGTTTTCTTTTCAAGTACATATTTTAAGTTTTTCATTTTAAAATATCATTATGTAACCTACGTGTTCTACAGATCTGTGTACAAGTGTTACTTATGATACTGATTTTGATCATATTGACAGGGCTCAATGCTAAGGACATTTTCTACTGGCCCGGTTTGGCCAGAGGTTTAAATTTTTTATTTGCCCAGTCAAAATTTTCACAGGCCTTGCCACAATCAATAAATAAGACTTATTGTTTTCATTGTTGACTGTAACATTGTAAAGAAAAAGTTTTATTAAAGATAAAACTGAAATGAAGCATGCTTTTCAGGTTTTTCAGGTAGGTCTAACTATTCCAGTTAAGGATGCACTGATCAGGATTTTTCGTGACCGATTCCAACTGCCGATTTAAATTTTTTTTTTTTTACAATCAAATGAGCCCATTCCCATACTCGTTGACAATTTATTTCATTTTTTATTACTCTTATAACTTTTTTTTTTTTTACATTAAATGTTTATTTTGCTCTGTTACTGGCCAAACTAACCTCAAACAAACAAACAAAAATATATGCAACATGAAGCAACTGCACAAAACAAAAACATCAGACTGGCTCTTTATTATAATTAGTGTTTTATTACCTTAATTATATGTCTGCACTATGTCTGTAGGCTACTTTCTGTACTGGAAGCTCCTGACACCAAGACGAATTCCTTGTGTGTGTAAACACACTTGGCAATAAAGCTCTTTCTGATTCTGATGAAAATGCAAATTCAATCTCTGAAAGCAGGTGGCGCTTATAGAACAGTAGCAATATAGCGTTTTCTGGGTAACGCAGTGCTGCGCTTATTGACACTCCTTTAATATGTATTTAACGAAGGTAAGAGGAAAAAGAAAATGCCATCGAAACTTTTCTGAAGAAAAGGCAGCAACCGCAGCAGTTTCGGCACAGGCCCAGGTGCAGGTCATCCCCACAGGCACTGCCACAACCGCACAGGTGGTGCAACAGAAGCTCCTCCAGCAGCAGGTTGTTACGGCAGCAGCAGCCTCCCCTCAAATCCAGAACCCGCCCAGGTGATTCTCTCCTCTTTGTGTCCGTCTTCAGAGCATCTGTCTTAAAGATAATATATCATGATGATCACTACGTTTGTGTTACCGAATTGCATACCGAATTATTCCTGTCAGGAATAACCTGCCCGCGCTGTTTTTAACCTTGTCGTTTTTGATTACTGTCAGTTATGCTGGCCTTGCCAGATATTGAAAAACAAACAAAACAATCTAAAAATAAATAAACCGCAATGATTCGATTTACACTATGTTAAAATAGCAGAATTTTCTGCTATTTATACTAATTGCAAATAGTGTGAAAAGAGAATGTAAGTGTGTGAGAGTGCCAGAATGAATTATGGCTCATACATACATACATACATACACAGGGTTTCTGCAGATTTGAACAAGTTAAATTTAAGACTTTTTAAGACCTTTTTAATACCACCTTATATGAAATTTAAGACCTAAACCTGTAATGGAAATACACATTTTATTACATACGTATACGTATATGTAATATTTAATGTGTTTAAATTAAAAAGAAAACAAAATATCAATGCTGTAATAAATGGTATTTATTACTACGCTATACAGTGAACTTTTAATGTCAGCAGACAATATTCCATACAAAATATCCCCGCAAAATAACTGTTTATTCCACCAAAAATCTCAGTGATGCAATTTATTCTGAAGCAATATTTTCATCAGTGTTCTATCAGCTTTTACATACTTAAATTTGCATATTTACATTTACAAAGGCCTATTTTTAATGCATTTATAAGTATACATACAAGAAAGAAATGTTGAGGGGAAAAATGCATACTTTTCAACAAACTTTTCAACTGAACTACCAGTAAGTGACGGTAAGTCACTTGATGAGTGTGTATTGAGTCATTCATTCAACTGATTGAGTGTGTTATCATGCTGGTATTTTAAGGACGTTCGTGGAAAACTGACTCCTAAAGTTTTTGATATTCTTCATATTCTGTGTGGTGGTCAGACAGAAATGAATATTTTCTAATAAGTTTAAATAGATTTTTACCTTTTATGGGCATTTTAAATTTATAAAGCCATTTTTCTATAAGTGTGCATTATCTTTTGAGTCAAATTCTTACATTTAATCAGTGAATAAGAATAATAAGACATTTGGGCTGTTAGCAAACAAATGAAATCAGTATCAACAAAATTCA